GTTTCTGCATATTTCTTAACACTTTCCTGCTGTTGAGTCATGCTGCATTATAAAATCACCTAGCAAATCAGAATATTGTAATGGTTTAAACACTTTTATTTTACAACAACCTCGTGTTATTAAGTTGCTCATAAACTACAGGCCAAATGTCAAGGTATTTATTCATAGAGTCATATCCAACTGGGCACTAGCTGACATACTACCTTGGACCACTAGCTGCAAAAGCTGAAGGCATGCTGTGCCTGTTTGAGGTGTTCAGTACCTTGCAAAGCCATGTGGGTGTTCACGTCCTCATGGTTAGTCCAAAGAGAGAAAAAAGGAAAAAAATGAGGGTGGATTTAGCCCGTAATCAGAATACAGCTCAGGTCAGGAATACAGCTGTACACAACGCAGATTGCAGGGTGACATTCTGGTTCTATTGAATTCAATAGAAAAATGCTTACTGGCTTTAACAAGGACACATTTAATCCCAGGACCTGAAATATCTCCACAAACCAGTTAAATTTCAGTATAAAAATGTCTAAATGTGTGTTTTATCAGGCCACTTTTATGTTTTTCTGGCCCCTTTATCTTGTGTCAACCAAAAATTCATAATACCAATTTTACTGAAGGCTGGCTTTAATTACAATTTCTTTTACAGGTCTCAACTGCTTTTTGTATCCTGAGAAATGAGAGCAATTTTTTTCTATCATATTCAGAAAGAAAATGAAAAGGTTGGTAAATGTATAAGTAATTTTAACTGATTCATTGATCTGAATACTTTTAAAGTAATACAGTAAGTATTTCTGTCACACTTTGAAGTTAAGCTTGGAGCTCAGTTACATCCCTTAGGGTTATTTTATAGCCATTAAGAATGTGTACCTTTTATCTGGTGCCTTCAATTAATTGAATTTCAAAAATATTCTCAAATGTTTTTAGAAAATCATTTAGTTCCTGGAGGACATTCCTGTGTGATTTATTGTTACAGTAATTAAAAGCAGTGAGTATTACACTGGTCACTGTTGGAACTCCTGTCTGCCTTTGGCTATATTTTGGTTTAAGTTAAAACACATAGTGCACTTGAGAGACTTGTGAAGGGAGGCAAGAAAAGAATTAATTCTTTTCAGATTGCTTCAGAATTTTGGCACACTTAGAAATAACCTCTTAAAGTGATCACAGTGATATTTACATGATAATTGTATGCAAGCACAATTAAACTTCTCTATTAAACAATTAAATAATGCTTTTCCTGCTATGGTGAATTATTCCTGACTACCCATATTAGTATTCTGTAGTTCTAATCAGTGCCATAAATAATTTTCAGTTTTACACATTCTGCTCTGAAGCAATTATTAAGAGCTCTCAGGAAGAGTTAAAACAGCTAATGAAAATAATTAGCAGGGAAAAAAAATGATAGCTCATCCTGCATTTAAAGATAACCCTAACTGAAAAGTACAAATGCTGCTTTAATTGAACTTTTGTTTTTCTGAGGCACACACTATTCAATTCTATAATCCCTTTTATGCAAGAAGTGGTGGAGTAACATTTGACAGAACCATTCACTCACAGAGGATTGGTGGGGTCAAACCCACAGTCCACTTCTCTTTAGTCATATAATATGGAGGAAGGAGCATGTTCCTGCCTTGCTTCCTTGGACCAAGAAGCTCTGCCTCAGCAGCTTTGCTTACTGGGCAAGGTCTGCAGGCTCAGGCTGCCCTCCCCGTCCAGGCATAGCTGTGCTGCAGGAAGGAGAACCTGGTGCTACCGACTCTTCTCGGTGTCTTCTGCCTTTTCAGGGTCTTCAAGGCAGGTTGAGATGGCTAAACTTTTAAGCATTTTAAATGATCCTCTTTTCCTACTAAAAAAACAATTCTCTCCACCTGTCTGCATATTGAGTACGCTAAGACCGCCCTCACTATTTCTCTAACCACGTCAACCTTTTTTCTCTATCACAAAATAAGTATCTTCTCCAAATCATGGGCTCACAAATGGAATTATGGTAACACTTCTTAGAAAATTAATGAAAACATAATTATGAGCCTGTATCTTTGTGAACTACAAAAGAGTCACAGACGGCCACAGAGAATCTGCAAATAAATGTGTTTTACTAGGTTAGGCGTGCATCTATGAAAAAAAGTACATTTGTACAGATTCTGATTGGTGCAGGTCAGTACCAGATAAACATTTCACATTTAAACGTACACACTGAAGTCATTGTTCAAAGTAATAACCCATCCTTTTAATAAACCATTCCTTTTACGCTAAAATGCCTAAAGGTTTTCTAATGTGTATCAGTCTTTTGAACATCACATAATGAATTGAATGTGAGAAAAGGAAAGGAAATGCACCTGTAAGGATCCCTTTACATTAAGACAAACCTTGCTGCTCCAAGGCTAGCATAAAACTTGGCACCCAAACAGATGAGGACAAAAACAGTTTCAGTGAAAGTCTGATTCCTATTCATGTATTTACTAAGTTCTGAATTATGTCGGCTTTCCCGTGAAATTATTCTAGTTATGTAAATCATCTCAGAGGTTTCATGATTAAGCTAATGTTCTTCTATGACCTCCATAGTGTGCATGAGTTAAGAGACAAACATTAGTATGTTATTCCTTGACTATGTGTGGTTTAGTAACCTCTACAAGAAAATCAAGGCAAAAAAGTAAACTATCATTTTCTCCCACCTGATCTCTTAGACTGTAGGTCTTCAAAGAACAGCCAAAATGCTGCAGGAATTGACACTCGCAATTAAATGCTATTCCCTTTCTGAATGGAAATATGTGGTGCTATCACCAGTGCTGTTTGTCTAATGACATGGAAAATTAAGGGGTTTAACCACTTGATGTCTTTTACTAATGGCCTTTTCACAGCAGAGATGTCATTGATCTAGATACAGAAATGGGAAAGAATGCCAAAGAATGCCAGGACAGACAGGACCAATCCCATTTCTACAGTGAAAAGAGCACCTTGTAATAGTTTAAATATTAAAAATGGTTGAAACCTTAACATTAATGGTCGTTTTTAGAAAGAGAGGGGAAAAGAAAATCTATAACGTCACAAACATCAAGCGAACTCTACAAATGCCCTTCCAGACATAGGCTCTAGCCCATACTACTTTGGGAGTGTCCCCAAAAACTTCTCTGGTTCCAAGCACTTTCCCAGATGTATTAGTGACCAGTGCTCCCTCTGTGCTTGTGTCCATCATGCCACTATGCTTGACCTGCCTGCCTGTCTCCTGGGATTCCCACTCCACTCAGTTTGGTCACCCTCCTGATGGCTAGGCCAGTCCTTGTTGGAAAGCCATCTTGTTTTCTGGTGTATGCAGATCAAAGTGGCGCTGGGCAGCAATTCCCGGGGTGTGCTGGTCACCAGAAGCAAATGGGAAAAGGCAGACTCAAGGTTCTGCTCTTCTTTCACCATCGCTGAAGTAATAAAACATGTTGATCTCATGGAACTGAGGTTGCTATATTTCAAAAGGTACACATTCTCTTTTGATAGTAGTGGTAGCCATTAATGTAAAAAAATATTTTCAAAAGATGCCTGCTGCCCTGAACATAGTAGCACATTTCAATGAGGGGGCAGCTGCATCCAGAGGGGGTTCCAGACCCCCCAAGTTAATTTGGGCCAGAGGAGAGGTGTCACCTCCGGAGGGAGGATGGTGTCACCCCACGCTCAAAAACAGGAGTTCGGTCAGTGGGATGGGGTCCTGGGCTGAGGTGGAGGGTTCCCCCTTTAGGCCAGGCGTTGCCCCTGGGCCCGGGCCGGAGCACGGGACAGCGCCAACGGGACTGGCCTCCAGGCGGAAGGAAGGGCAAGCCCAGATCCGAGGGGCAGGGCCGCAAGCAGCGCTCCCGGGTGGGAGCCCCGCTGGGTATCGGGGATCTGAGCGGTGCCCCCGTCCCAGGCCGTGGGTCCCCCCTGCCTGGCCAGGATCGGCGGACTCCACGTCGCGTCGGGGTTGTCATTCGGCTTTAAAATGCAAAGGCTCGCTGCATGATTGGCTTTCTGTTTACAAGCGCAGATCGGGAGAAGGCTCACGTTTTCTTTCTTCTTGCGGTCTCCCCGCCTTGGAAGCTGCAAGGGCAACCCGAGAAGGAAGAAAGGGGAAAGAGGATTTCCCAGTTTCAAGGTTCGTCCTGCAATTACCCTGTCGTTGCAGTACAAGGTGCGGCGTGTATTGAGCATTACGAGCACGGGTCCATGCAAATGACACGGGCATGAAAGAGCCCTGGCAAGAATAAATCTGTCGATGTACAGATGTTCCCCATTAACGTTACTGTTCAGCCTTGGTGGTTACGGTGGGAAGACACCGGATTAAAAATTCCTGTTGCCACCCCACCTCCCCTGAACCTTTCTCCCCACACCTCTTTGTCTTCCCTTAATTAGGTAGGATATAATATTCCCTTTTCCTCTCCTCTGCCTTATTGAGACGTCTGCCGAGGCTTACGCCTTCAAATAGGAATGATATTGATCTCTCCTCCCCCTTCTGTCAATCCCGATTTGTCCACTTTTCCTGCTGAACAAACAATTAAGAAAAGTACGGGCTGCGCGGTAAAACTTCGCACACACCCGGCCCCCGCGGGTGCCTGAAGTGGGTCCTGGCCCAGGGGGTGAGAAGGCGGAGCGGGCGGGGAAGGGGCGAAAGCGAACAGCGCGGGTCTGCACACCGGGAAAGGCGCTCGGGACAGAGAGCTCGCTGCCAGCGAGCCCAGCCTCAGGCCCCAATAGCTTCCTCATAGAGAGCGACGGCAGCCCGCGACTGACACCGGACGGGACGGACGGGCGGGCGAGCGAGAGGCGCAGGAGGACGGAGAGGGTAACCGGTGGCAAGCGCTCCTGCACCGACCTGGCCGGTTGGAGGAAGCCCCGGTGTTGGACAGCCCAGGGCGGGCTGCGGGCCGGGCTCCGGGGCTTTACAGGGAGCGGGTCCCTGGTGCCGGGTGCCGCCGCACCGCCTCCCCTGACCCCCTCGGCGGGGGGAGGGGGGGGAGGAGGCCGGGCCCACGCAGCCCCAGGGTATCCCCGAAGCGGCCGGCTCTGCCGCGCTGCCTCGGGGCCCCGAGTACAGCTGCACCCGGTGGGTGGCCAGGTGAGGTGCCCATCTCCTGCGCGCAGGGCTGGCGCTGGCGTCCCAGCCCGCCTCCTCACCCGGGAGGGAAACAAAGGCGGCAGGAGCGGCGGGGAGAGTTGCTGCAAGTTTAGCTCCTCTCGGTCGTGACTCGCAGAGATAAACGGCAGTTCAGAGGTGCGCGCAGTTAATCAACGCTACGACTGCCTTACAAAGTGTGCAACCCGCAGATCATTAGGTTAAATGGAGGACATTCGTGTCCTTCCAGAATCAATGCAATTATTGTTGGTAACAAGGACAACCATCGGCGTGGCAGCACTAATTTTACTAACCTGTTATTAATTACGGTGTCCCCCACGCCCCAGACGCCGTTTATAACCCGCGGAACCAAGCGGGTGCTGGCTGCTTCTGGTTTAAAACGGGAAAAGTTGGAAGCGGAGTGCCTGGCCGCCTTGGAAAGTGTTAACCGGTGGGGCAGCGTGCGGCCGGCGGAGCTGCTCGCGCGCACGTCACTCTGGTGCAGCGCAGGGGTAGCGAGGCGTTGGTGCCGGGGGACCGGCTGCTCCGCACCGCTCCGCACCGGTGCCGCGCACCCGGACATGCCCACCGCGGCCCCCTGGAACCCCCGCCACGGCAGCCGGCGCGGGCGGGAGGAGAGGAGCTCTGCCATGGCACCGCCAGCGCGACGAGGCTTTAGCTGGAGCCTGGCGTGATCGCAGGTAAACATTTTATTCTTGTTTTGGTGGTGCTGCTTGTGTGTGTGTGTGTGTGTGTCTCTATGGAAGCGGGGGGTGGGTGGGAGCGGTGGGGTTTATGCCCCCCCCCTTCTTCAGAGCCTGCTTTAGCAGCTGAAAACGAACTGCTGGAGGGAAGAGAAACTACCTGTGATGAATCACTTGGCTTTGTGCAATCTTTACCTAGGACAGAGGGCAATGTATTTTACCATATGTGTGTTATATCTTGGGAAAGGGGTGTGGATATGATGTTCAGCGAGAGCTAAGGTAAGGCATCGAGTCAAACTTTCTGGATTTTAAGGCAAACTTTCAAAGGCACAGAATGTGACCTTGCGAGTAGGAAAGTTTGATCTCCGCAGGGCAGCGTGTTCCAGCTGTCCGCTGCCAGAGAGCCCAAAGGCTTGAAGTGCCAGCGGCTCCGCGGCGCTAGGGGTGCCGCAGCTGGAACGGGAAGCCCTGGACGGGCTTTGCTTGGCTAGTGAGAGCGCTGTCGCGATGCTGTGCAACGAGCAGGTAAAGGCGTTTGTAGGGTACTCCGATCCGTGCGGCAGCTGCCCGGAGCGCAGCGATTGCTTCCATTGGGGAAAAGTTTTGTGTGTATGAGCATGTGTGTGTGAGAGAGGGAGAGCATGTGTTGGCTCTAGTTCTTAGGTGCGAAAGTTAATAAATACAAAGAACAGAATGAGCATGTGAGGCCTTTCTGCCTTAATCTAGATTGTTTGCCAAGGGGATTGGAGACTTACAAAATGAGAGCATTTAAAAGGGGTAGTTCTGAACGACTGTTTTTACGCGTGGCTGTAATCTAGGCTAATTAATTAGTGGCGTCTCCTTATGCAACTGTCCGGTTTGTCACCACAGCTCCGCCGGCCACCGCCGGGCTCCGCGGGTCGGCAGGAGCTCGCTGTCTCTCCACTCGGAGTGCGGGAGATGTGACTGCAACTCAGATGGGCTCAGGAAAAGAAAAAAATCCCCCACAATCGTATTTACTGTCGATAGCGACTTTGCGGGAGCTAATCTACTTGAAAACGTTGCAGGCTGCCTTCGGTTCCATGTCACATCCCAAATGGGCAACATGTAGAGCTTCACAGCGTTTGTCAGGCAGTGTCAAGGTTTCTTTAAATCTGGAAGGTGAAAACAAAGCCAAGCAGACTGCATGAGCTCGCTAAAGTCTGTATAACCCATAAGCAAATTCCATCGCTGAAATATTTCCAGGAGTGACAATAACTCCTCCAAAAGAGAAGGCGATTAAAACTAGATAGTAAAATTGTAGCAGCATTAACTTCCTCCAGATCAGGTCCCTGAAGACGTCCCTCAAAGCCTTAGTCCTGAAGAGGCTCTCGGGTTTACCTGCTGTGGCCTGCTCCAGCACCGCAGCGTTTCCTCCTCGTTCTATGCTTTTGTGATAGAACTTGTATGAATATTGGCTTCAGGTTCCAGGAGAAGAGAAACCTAACTCTCGGCGATAGGTTTGGTTGGGCTTTGGCTGTAAAATACTTGCTTGCCAGGGTGTGCAGGCTGGCCCTCGCAGGATGGGAACTCTATTGATTGTGGTGGGTTTCCTCTCTAAAACTTTGGAGAAGGCAAATTGGTACAGGAATGGGGCTTTGGCAAGGATCAATTTTTATTGCATAGCAAAGACTTGCATTTTCCAAATGCTTAAGGATATAGCCCACAGCACTAAGCGTCTTTGCGTGGATTTGAACAGTGGTACGTTGTTTATGTGTGGGAACCACAAGGGTTGTTTTGAATCATTGTGGGGCTTACTGTGTGTTTGTTCTGGCACTAAAAATTCAAGATGAAATATAGTTGTGTGGAATTTCTTATCAACAAGGGGCCATTATTTGTAGATTGTGAGTGAAACAGGACTTAAATGCAGGAGGAAGATGTAATGTCAGCTTTTAGCGTTTAAAGTTATGAAATGTTTAAGGTTATTAAGCTTTCCTGTTGTTTTGTTTTGATGGGCTTTTTTTAATGACTGCTTTCTAGGGAATACAGATTGGAACTGACACAAAGCTGACCGGGGGTAAAGTAATAGAGCAGGCAGGCTGCAAAGAAAAATGACAAATAATTATCATGATTAATACAGGAAAGTTCAGTGCAAAAATGGGCACCGGAGTATTTGCATGGCACAGTGAAAGACAACTGGGATATAAAAATAGACAAGGACTATAAATATTGAATTTCACCTTGTATTTTAAAGTTTAATAGACTCATCTAAATATCAAAACCTGGAGTGTTCTGTGGGCCATTGCAGAGTTGACATCTGCGGTATTATCAAAAGAGGGAAGGAAGAGGGGGTTGGGGAGGGGGGGAACAAACCACACCACCGGGACATCTTCCAAACTGTAGCCTGGAAAACTGGGAGGACTTCTCCAGGCACTGCTCTCGCACTCCCAGCTAATTATAGTGCTTTACACCGAGCTGCTCTTGAGATAAGAGCAACTGTTCTCTCCCCCAGCACCGGTGAGTTATACTCCAGGGCTTAAATATCCCCACCACTGCCTCTTCTCCCCCCTCAGCGCACCCCGTGGGGGAGGCAGAGCAAGAAGCACCAGAGGCTTCGTGCAGACCTTTGTGCAAACACTGGGTGCCTTTTCTTCCCAAACAATACCACAGCCCCTCAGCACCTCGCAGAGGAGGAAGCCTGCCGTAGAAAGTAACTAAAAGTACATTGGCAGCACTGGGGGAGCAGGAGGAATAAAGGAGAGCTTCTGTCAAAGAAACCCAGTGGCTAAGTTAGTAATATTCCCAGAAGAAAAAAAAAAAAAAAACAAACCAACAAACAAACAAAAAAACCCCTAGCATTTCAGGTGAGGAAATAAAAAGCACTTTCTTCCCCTGAAAAAAAAAAAAAAATCAATGCAGAATTCCAAACCGATTATTTATGTCACTTGATTCCCTTTTTCTATACGTTTCTCCCGGCTACAGATAGTGAGCTGTCAGGATAATTTGCATGTAGTGTATCTGATTATCTTTTATTTGCAAACACTCTAAAGCGCCATAAAACGCTGCTCGTTGTAGTCTAACTCAATTCGAGAACTAGTATTTTCATCTGTAAATTAAAGCAATTACGCAGCAGATATTATATTATGTGTACTGTGGTCTCCAGATAGTCATCAATCACCCTCAATCGAGCTGTCAGTGTGGGCAGATTCGTTTCTGGGAGGCAGTCTTCCAGCTGGGGAGAAGAAGAGAACATCATCATTAATTAGAGTGTGACCCTGGGGCTATTCACATGTCTGAACCCAGGAATCTCTCTGAGCAAGTCTGCACACCAACGGAGCAGCATGCAACTGCACCAGCAGCCCGGCTTCAGCCTCGGAGCTGACTCCGGAGCTTCCTCCACCCGCCCGACTGCTGCCTACTCTCCCTGGCCCGGAGGTAGCTAGCCGTTGGGGGGAGATTCTGGGGCCGCCGGACGGTGGAGATGGCCGAAGGGCCCCAGCGTCTTCCTCCGACGGCCGCTACACGGAGCCTGCCCCGCTCCGGGTGGGATGCTGCCTGCCTAAGGAAGGGGCTTCTTCAACCCCCAAAGTATAGGAAAACTGCTGGCAGCGGCGGTGTGTGTTGGGAAAGAGAAGAGGGTGATGGAGGTGAAACCCCTTTTTCAGCCCTTCTTTCTCTCGGGGAATCCCGGGGAAGTACCGAACCACCAAGGAAGAGGTGGATGCTCTTGGGTGAGAGACAACACTTGGCACCTTTGAGGTGTACTTCTTTCTCCCTCGACTCTCCCTCTCCTCAGTCCAGCTGTGCGCACCTCTGAGCCTAGGCAGGCTGGCTAGGGCCCTCGCCCCGCCAAAGGTTGGCTTTTCCAGCAGAGCTTTGCGATGGGATCAAAGCAGTTCTAACGTGAAAAGTCACGTCCCTTTCAATCATTCCCCGGAATACGCTTGTAGGGTTTCCTACCTGTAATCACACGTCGGGAATAAAAGCCGAAAAGCAAAGCAAGGATTGCCATGTCATGTGCTTTATTGTCAGCGGTAGTGCTAATTTTAACTGTTGATTAAATCTTAAATGAAGACTCAGTCGTGTGTCCCTTCATATGTCTTGTTTATAATTGAGACTAATTATTACTGTGGGGTGGGAAGAAGCAGCTGCTCATTAATTAATTTCTAATTAAAAGTGCTTACCAGCCCTTCAATGACTAAGGAGGGTGGGGGAAATCTTAGGTAATACAACATTGATCCTTCAGATTAAACCCAGTCTTTCACTTCCCCGCAGAAATCCATGGAGATGCTGAAGGCAGCCTGTGCCGGACAGCTTTCCAAACTTTCGCCCCTGTTAGGAAAGGTTTTGGTCCTGTTAAGAGGGATGACGAGATTCTTTTCCATGCCAGGGGGAAGGGTCCCGAAAATGAATGTTAAACTTCCAGGCAGGTTAATCTGAATAGGTTTTGCGTGACGTCAGAGGCTCGGCTCTTTTAAAACAACGTGCTTCTTAACTGATGTATTTTTATCGCTTTTGTCTCCCCCCCCTTCCCTCTTTTATTTTTCCGTGGGTGCAAACTATGTATTTCTGCAGTCATGTTTGACGGACCCCACGAGTAACAATAATTTTTGTTTCGTAGGTGTAGAGGGGAAGGTGCTAAAATCACTGTGCATCTTTTTTATTGTTAATTTTCCCCCTTCGGTTAAAAAAAAAAAAAAGAAAAGAAAAAGTTTAACATTTCTTGTAAATAAATTAAATGTGGTTTTCTGCTTCGTCCTATAAGCATCTAGGGACCTGTGGTTACCAATCAATTGGTACAACAGAGCAGAGCCAGGCTGCAATAGCGTGCAGATCAGACGTCTCGCCTTGTTTCTAGATAACCGGGAGCCTCTGTACCATGTCATATCCTCAGTTTGGCTATCCTTACTCCTCTGCACCCCAGGTAAGAATGTTTTGCCTGCCAACGGGAACTGACTATATCTCAGCCCTTGCTGATGACTTCCGCCGGGGCTCAGGGCGCAGCGGTCCTCCCCAGGGTTGCGGGAGCGGTACCCTGGCCGGGAAAGAACACGCGTGGTTTCGGGTGTTAATGGGTGATAATGACAAGGAGGAAGGGTTATAAAGGTGGGAATAGTGAGCAGAGAAGCTACAGATATCCCCCTCCCCCTGGACCCCAGCGGTTTTTTTTTTCTCTTTCCTGATTAAATACACAGTTTACCAATTAAACACTGAAGTGCTGAGGTCCGGACCGTGGGAGCATAATGGAATATTCTAAACCAGCAGGTTAATAACAGATGCGTGCGTGGCTGCTACAAACTCGCAGTCAAAATAAATATGCATGAGTTATTTGGGGGGTGGGGAAAGGTTAAAAAACGCAGATGGGAAGCGTGCTGCAAGGGGAAAAAAAATGGTGTAAACCCAGCCTTGCGAGAGCGCACCAGAAAAGTTGTTTTTTCAATGCAAAGGGCTGGAGCGACGTGGTACAGAGGATTAAACGCCCAGAGCCATGGGGAGAATGGTGGTGGTTGTTGGGGGTAGACTGGTAAAATACTTGCAACTCTGCAACCTCCAGTTTATGCTGATGGAAGTAAAACGCGGAAGGAGGGGGCGGAAGGCAGGGGGGTTGACACCCCAAAGCTGAGACCTGATAAGAAATAACAAGTATAAACCCGAACTCGGTTATTTTGGGCAGTCGTCCCCCTGTCGTCGTCCCCTTCCCCAACTCCCCGCCCGCTCCCAGCGCCGGTCTCTTTCCCTCCAGTTCCTGATGAGCACCAATTCCCTGACGACGTGCTGCGAGTCCAGCGGCCGGACGCTGGCCGAAAGCGGGGCGGCGGCCCCCGCCCAGGCTCCAGTGTACTGCCCGGTTTACGAGAGCCGCCTCCTCGCCACCGCCCGGCACGAACTCAGCTCCGCCGCCGCCCTGGGGGTCTACGGCGGCCCCTACGCCGGGCCCCAGGGATATGGAAACTACGTGACCTACGGCACCGAGGCTCCCGCCTTCTACTCCTTGGTAAGCCGCCCCGGCGGCACCGCCGACAGACCGTCCTCCGCGCGGAGCCGCGCTTCCCCGGGAGCAGTGGCCGCTACCCCTCCGCGGTGGGGGCAGCCCCAGGCGCTTCTTCTCCTCTTCCTCCTCCTCTTCCTCCCCCTTTCCCGCGACATCCCGCTCCCGCCGACCGGCGCTGCCAACCCCGCGGTCATTAATTATTCAAGCCCTGCGCGGATCTCACGGTATCGCAATTAAAAGTCGCGCCTGACCCGGGCGGTGACAGCCGAGTGCGGAGGGACCGCCCGGGAGGGTAGTGTGGGGGGGTGGGGGTGGTCTCAGACCACGGCTCGTCAGAAAATGATGCACTCATCCCGGCCAGCCTTAGGGGTTTTTCCCCCCTTTTTTTTCCTATCACCTTAGCAGCGCGAGTTAATGTCTCTATTGATTTCGCTGCTCGCCGCGGCCGGAGGGCCTTCGGAAAGGTCCTTCCCCCACTCTCCCCCCTTCCCCTATATCCTCCTCGTGACTCGGGGAGGGGGGGAGGGCAGTCAGTCACCGTGGCGGGGGCTGAGGGCGGTGGCGCGGTGTCTCTTACAGAACAGTTTGGAGACGAAGGACGGGAGCGGGTCTGCGCATGCGGGCATCGCCCCGGCTGCTGCCTACTACCCCTACGATCACACCCTCAGCCAGTACCAGTACGACAGGTAAGCAGCCCATCCTCCTGCCCACTCCCCGTCCCCGCCCGCCCGCCCCGCCGCGGACCTCCCTCCCCGCAGCCCGGCATCCCCCTCCCGCCCCTGCCGTGCCGCTTTCGAAGAGCTCCTTTACCGCAGGGACGCAGGCGCGGGTCACTGGTCCCTCTTCACGGCAGTGGGCTTGATAATTATCTTTTCCCTGCGCGAAGGCAGGCTTAGGCGCCTGGGCATCCCCGGTGCGTGTGTTAGTTGTGAACCAGCACAAACCCACTCACGCACCGTTCCAGGCTCGGAGGTCCATAGGGTGCCGATGACCTTTCCTGGAGGATGTGCATTAAATATTCAGTCGCAGCCCAGTGTCATCTGTGTTAGGTTCCTACAATTTCAGGAACAAAAGAGTAGGAGAGATTACCAATAAAAGGAGTAGGGGGAAATATATTTCTATTAACAGTTACACCCTGGGGTCACCCAGATATATTCCGCTTGGGAAGGAGTGCTCAAACCGCAGGAAAGTGGGATTTGTGTTTGTAAAACTGCTAGGATTTCCCTGCTGCCTCAAACTTTGTCATTGACTTCACCACCAATAAAGGCAAGGTGCTTTACCCCCTCCTGCCACCACCACTGCCGCCGTGGCACAGTGGGGATTTACATGGCCCTCTGCTGCTGTTAGCTGAGCCCTTCCTCGGCCTGAGTTCTCGAGGCAAGTCACCCTCTTAAAGCTGAGCTGACCTCGCGCATTTCCCCCCTTTCTGGTCCATCCACCTCAGGGAATTCCCTAGGCAAGCAGACAGTAGCGGGGTCCTGGGACCCTGCGTCAGGCACGGCCGGAGGGAAAGTCGGGGTGAGGGCGCCGTGTCATGCTGCGGGTTTGCCCCCTGGGTCCGCAGGTACGGCACGATGGACGGCGGGACGCGGCGGAAGAACGCCACCCGGGAGACAACCAGCACGCTGAAGGCCTGGCTGCAGGAGCACCGCAAGAACCCCTACCCCACCAAGGGCGAGAAGATCATGCTGGCCATCATCACGAAGATGACCCTCACCCAGGTCTCCACCTGGTTCGCCAACGCCCGCCGGCGGCTCAAGAAAGAGAACAAGATGACTTGGCCCCCGCGGAACAAGTGTTCGGACGAGAAGCGGCCCTACGACGAAGAGGAGGAGGAAGAGGAAGAGGGCTCTCAGCAAGAGGCGATGAAGAGCGGGAAAGCCGAGGGTATCCTGCCCAAACCAGGCACTTAAGGCCTCGGCCGCCCGCTCGCCCCCGGGGCGGGGCTGGCCCCGCTTCTGGGGGCGGCCGCGGGCAGCGCGGCGCCGGCAGTGACCGTGTGTCTTGTTTTTGCTGTCCCTTCCCCTACCCCGCAGAGCCCACGGGCAAGGAGGAGAAGGAGCTGGAGCTCAGCGACCTGGAGGACCTGGACGCCGCCGAGTCGGAGAGCTCTGAGTGCGAGCTGAGGCGGCCCTTTCCGCACCCGCTCCCGCACCCGCTCCCTGGCGGCAGCCACCCGCCGCGGCCCGCAGAGGCCCCCGCCAAGATGCCGCAGCCGCCGGCTGCCGCCGGGGAGGAAGAGGAGGAAGAAGAGGCGGCAGCGGGGCGGGCGCGGAGCTGCCTGAAGCCGGCGGCGGAAGAGTGCGGCCCCGACCCGCTCGGTGCTAGGCAGCGCGGCTGCGAGTCCAAAATGTGCTTCCAGCAGGGGCAGCAGCTGCTGGAGGCGAAGCCCAGGATTTGGTCCCTGGCGCACACCGCCACCTCCCTCAACCAGGCCGAGTACTCCTCCTGCATGCTGAAGCGGCCCGGGGGCTCTGGCACCGCCGCCGCGGTCTCCGCCCCGGTCAGTGTCATCGATAGGCACCAGGATTCGCCGGTCACCAACCTCAGGAACTGGGTGGATGGGGTGTTTCACGACCCTCTGTTCAGGCACAGTACTTTGAACCAAGCCCTGAGCAACACGACAGTATCCTGGGCCACCACCAAAGGAGCCATCCTGGAAACAGGCGCCTTGGGACGCGCGGTGGGGAACGGCGCCAATGTGCTCAAGGGGCAGCTCTCAAACCTGGCCCACCATGACTCAAACAAAGAGTTTCTGGCCTTTCCCAAATCAGGAAGCAAAATGTTTTGTTCCTAACAAGCCCGCCGAGGGCCGGAGGACTTTGGAGCGCTTGAAGAGTCAGCTACACTGAAATGAGACTTGCGAGAGTTTAAATTTAAATATAAAAGTTGTTTTCTTCTTTATTTTATTTTTTTTTTAACCGAGGATTTAAAGTTCAGTTTGCTCAGTTCAACGGACAGACTTTGGTCATTGCTGTTCTGAAGAATTTCTCCTGGCTGCGACTTTAAGGGATCAATGTCGTGAAAGTAATTTAATTCCATGTCCAAAAAGCACGTGCTATAGCGTAGACCTACTTTTAAAAAGTTTACATCCGAAAGTTTACAAACGGGAAATTTTAATTCGGATTTAATTTAAGGCATGCCGACATTAGTTATAAAGACTTTCCGAGAGTTTTTCCTCCTGATTTCCTTGTTAGCATATAATTCACAAAGCACTTCTACTAAGTTTACACCTACTGCACAAATTTATCTTGAGAAAAGAAAAAAAAATATGTTAAAAGGTATGTTCACTCCAATAAATTGTCTGTTTCAGAGGTAACACAAGTGGTGGCGTTTTGCATTGGGCAACAAAATATCTTTTAGGGACCAAAATTCCCTTTCGGAGCCGGGCCCGGCAATTCCAAGGACTGTCAACAGGCTGCAGGGAGAGGAGACTCAGCGTTGCACTGTCGCTGTAGCAAGGATCCGCGGGAAGCATGCTTGGATTCTCCGCGCAGAGCTGAGCCCCGGCAGCCATCCGGGCCGGTGGGGTGAGAGGGAGAGGCGGGGGGTGCAATTGCTTCACATGGAAAATCCGCTCTTTTAAAGAACCGTTTTAGCTTCCCGGCTCCTCCGCCCGTATGGGGAGTCGCTGATCCGCCATGAATATTTCAGCACTTCAGGACAGATGCTTCACCGTTTTGACATTAAATAGAGTGCAGCCAACAACGAGGGGGGGCGGGGGATAGCGCTCTCGACGTGTGATTCAGGAGCATTCGCAGCCCATCCACCACACAGATACCGGGCGTATAAATTACATCCCTTCTTTCCCCAGAAACAGGAACAAACTTTGCTGATTCTTGGATCGGGAAAAGGGGAGAATGCTGGAAAACAAACTGCGAGGCACTAGCAGACCCCGGCTTAACTAGGCCGCTCTAAGCCCCACAGAGCTGCTGTGCCCGGCGCCACGGGGGAGAACAAAAAGAGCCCCAGTGACCGAGCTGACACCGGGCAAGCAGAAGAGACTTTCTTAACCCCAAGCTTCCTCTCCAAACCCACTCCTGTGGCTCCCCCCAATAAATAAATAAGAATACAATGCGGAATATATATATGCAAAAATAAACGTGACAGAGACAGCACCCAGCCAAAATATAACCCACTCCAGCTCACAAAGTTTGTAGTGAGACCTGTTAGTACAAGGACTGAATAAAGGAATCCGGGTGCGCAGATCAGATCAAGCCCTTCCCCTCTCTGGGAGCAGCAGTAATTGGATTGTATCCAGTCATATTCCCTGTCATTGTATTGACTTTCGCTCTCTTGGATGATATTATCGAGATCACTGAACCCCTCTGCTGATCTGGCTGTCAAAAGGCTCAGACAAGAGCCCCCGGCCTGGAAAACGTGCATCAGCCGAGATAATTTGAAGTGAAATTTTCATTTTGACAGTAAACCCCTCAATTTCTAAAGGCTCTGCACCCGGAGAGCTCGGTGGCAGGGGGAGGCTTTACAGAAAGCCCATGTCTTAAACTGAAAAGGGCAAAAGAACTCGAATTAGTTGTAATAGATAAAAGGGCAAAAATAAAGAGTCAAGGGTACTTGACAGTAATAGCGAAAGTGGAGTCTCCGGGGAGCTGCGATCTCAGCTAAAGGCTGGGCCGGCAGGAATTTTAATGCAGCCGGGGCGGCCGGCGAGCTTCGTCTCTGAAACCCTTTAGACAAAGCAAATTATTTTCTCAGCCAAACTGAGGAGGTGGGGATGAAGGAGGAGAGGAAGAGGGAAGGGAGGAAAGGCGAGTGTTCAGCCTGCCCTCATTGGCGGAGGCAGGCGGGATCGGGGGAAAAATCCCGCCGCCTTCTGTGATGGTGGTTTTAAGGCCGGGAGGTTTGCGTGTCCAAGCTTCTTGGCGTGTGCAAGGGCCCGGCGGGCACATCAGGTCTCCCTCTCGCTGGGCTTCGGCTTCCATGCGATAGAGGCCATGGGGGTGGGAGAGGCTTCGTCCTCGCTGCCTCCAGTGCAACAGCCGAGTGTGTGTGTGAGGGCCTTAGACGTGTCCCGTGCTAAGCGGAGCGCCGCGTCCCCCCCGCCGTCACAACCCGTCATTGCCAGGCGATGTGGTCAGCTCGTCATTTGGGAGGCAGCTCCCGCCCCTCTTCCCCGGGATTAAATGAAGGTGGTAACACTGAAGGCAAAACACAGCCACGCTGAAATACCAGTAGCCAAAGGGACGGCGGGTTAAACATTTACCCTTTCATTTCCCCGTCACCGTCGTTATAAAGCAAGTTTGAGCAAGTCGATGCCCGTTGTACCACCGGAGCAGATCGATTGCCCCCGGGCTGAGGCCGCGGCCGCGCAGCACCGGGTCGGCGCCGGGTACGCGCCCGCGGCAACGCATCTCCGCTCCTGGGTCGGGACCGTGCTCATCAGGGGGAAGGGAAAATGGTTCTTGCTTTGGTACACGAACCTTATCTCTGGATCAGCCGTCAGATGCAGTGGCTTTAAAAAAAAAAAAAACAAAACAAACGTTGCTTTTTCTTTCTTTTTTTTTTTTTTTTTTTAAAGTGTGAACAAAAGAGTGTGAGAAATTAATTTTGCCATTTGAGTCAATAGCACAAGTCAAAGATCAGGTTCAGCTACTTTAGAGGAGACTACGAGGCTGAAAGGCAAACCCGGACAGCTCCTATGGCTGTGCAAAGCAAAAATATAAAGGCAGACTGAGAAAGAAGGGGGGGGGGGGGGGGGAAATCATAGAGAAACGGCTTGAAACTGAGAGACTCTAAATCATTCAGCCATGGCAAATTCAAACACACAAAGGAGGGGATGCTAAATTAACAGTGCTTTTTACATAGAGCCCAAATAAAACTGTAATCAGCGACGCGTTACTTTTCATTAAGCGAGTTTGACAGGAGCATATTCAGCCTCGACAAGGGAACAGGAGCGAAGAAATATACGGCTCTCCCAGCCCGAGTCATAAGATAATTCCTTAAGCTCCATTAACAACTCTTAGCCGCAGGAAATGGGCTCCCTGAAAACATCTCCAAATCTAAAAGCTTTATCGACCTCTCAAACCTCTGCTGATGGTTCTATTTTTTTTAAAAAACTTAGAGGCGAGACGTCCAGCAAGGTAATAGACTTTGACACAACACCTTCTTAACTAGAGAGAGAGAGGCAGGCAAAACGAGACCTTAAATGATATTTAAAAGGCAGCCAATTAAGATTTAAAATGATTGTCTCCTGAGATTATGCATGCGATTTATGTCATATACTTTTTTCCCAGGCATGCATGCAAAATTGCAATGGGACATACTGCCTGTTCCTTAAATAATAATAACAATAATAATAATAATAATACAGTAAGAAAAAACACTAGCAATTAACAATCTGCAACTATCCCACATAACTGTAAGTGCTATACTAGGAAAGGGCTGATGTTTGGGTAGCCTGACTGTAACACACCTTACAACAGTCAGCTTATTTATAAGTGCCTAATTAAAAGAGATAGGTGAAATGATCCACATATTTTCTATTTATGTTTAGGAGCACATTTCTTTTTATCTCAAGTGCATGTTTGACTGTTGAAGTTGTATTATGGGTTCATAGTCACAGGGCCCAGTGTAGTGGCTTCTTCTCATCAGCCACATGAAGAGAGGTGTCCAAGAAGACTTTGTATGGGCAAGACTGTGAACATTACATATTTTGAAGGTGTACTGGTTCAGAAGGAGACTCTGACTTAGTGCAGTCTTTTTGATATACATTTGCCTTTTCCATTTAAATCTGACCTTCAAATAATATGAATGCTTGGGTGTGCGGAAATGGACCCAGTTAAATGCCAAGAAAAGAGTTAATGCTTATATTTTACCATTTCATGCAGAAACCCTAGAAAATGCAAGAAAAATATTATAACTTGCTGATTTTGTAAGGGTTTGGAAGCTGTTTCAACAACTGTGATTTGTCAATGAATGGGGAGGAAAAGGATCATTCAAACTCTACTGTGTTTTGGCCAAAGTGTTTAGGCACCCCCTTAGATGAAGTTAGTACTGTCTATAAAGTGGTGAGTCCAAGCCCCACATCTCTACAGGTTTGTGCGTGTAAATTTGTACATAAAAAACTAAAGAATTTAGGGATGTTAGTGATCAAATTATATTTTTTTATTTGTCCTATAAAAAAACCCTGTAATGATTGTGCTTAGCCTTAAAGAGAAAGTTATTTTAAATGGAACTGCTAATGGCCAGAGCACAGACCCTGAAAGGGTGACCACAGACCCTGAAAGGGTGACATTTGGCATATTTTAACTCACATACACTGACAGAGAGGCTGTGAGGTGCTCAGGACTTGTTGGAAGGGTTCTCTTCATATTCCTTGTGAAATAGCATCACTGCAGAAAGTAATTCCAGATTCATAGGCCTGCCAAAAAGCAGCTTTAATATATACACAGGTCTGGGGGCAGTTTAACACACAAGGCATCACTCTCTCATACTGTATGGTGATATACCAAAAACTTCATTTGATTGGGAACTTGAAGATACATTTAACATAACCTGAAGAACTGAGAGAAGAGGAAATGCTTGGGAGCAATTAAAAAGCAAAAGATGGTAAGTGCTTCCCTCCTGCCCCATTGCAAAGTGGATCTGAGTTCAAGGAGTAAAGAAAGACTCCACACAACCTAGAGAGAGTGCATGTATGCAAGCTTCACTGATATCCTGCTTTCCACAGTGGGGAACATGGTCTGGGCATGAGAACTGCAAGTGACCTACTTAGAAGGCTCAAGAGCTACTTTTTGTCCATCCCAGTTTAAGGAGAGCATGAAAATGAAGGATGTAACTTGAAGGAAGCTGTTCACTTAATGCTCTTTTTTTTTCCCTGACACAAATGCATGAAAAAATTATTTTTTCTCACTGAGTTAGCTAGACAAAATGAGGGCATAAAAATCTTTTTCTTCTCGCTTTTACTTCTATTTGCTTTCTCCAAATCAGCATGTCATTACTTAAATTCTGAAATGGACGGATTTCAGTTGCAGTTGGTATTTTGACAGTGGTTTCCATGGGATCATAATCAGGCCATTTTTCAAAGAATACCTCAGAAATCCTTTCTGAAATACTGCCAAGGATGATGGTGGTGATGAAATGTAACTGAGAAAAAACCCCTCTCCAACATTATTTCTCTGATTTATGATTCTTACGAAATGTCAAAAATCAAACAATTAAAAACAAAGTACTTGAGATCTCATCAAATACTTTCCCCCATGTATTCTATTGTGAAAAGGGATTAAAACACTTCCTAGAAAATGAGCAATCCTGAATAACCAACAACTTACCTATGTCCTTATGCTAAGAAATGTGCTAC